ATCATCCTCCTCGCCTTAAGATAGGAAATAAACCTACCTTTCGGCGCTGCTGTATCGCCTTTCCATTCCCGAACTGCCTCTCTTGGAAAATGGAAATCTAACAATTTTTGTTCGGCACTCAACATTAGCATAACAAGACGCTAACCAGTCCATGCCCATAATGACGTCGAAATTGACCATCTCTAACTCTACAAGATCAACAGAGGTCTGACGGTCGATAATTTCTACCGTGCAACCTCGATAGACTCTCCTAGCAACAATAGACTCACCAACTGGTGTAGATACAATAAAGGGTCGATCTAATGACTCCGCTACTATACATAACTTCCCCGCTATAAATGGAGTAACATAAGACAGAGTAGATCCAGGATCTATCAAAGCATAAACACAATGGGAGAAAACAATCAATGTACCTGTCACAACATCTGGTGATGACTCTGAGTCCTGTCGGCCGGCTAGTGAATATGTACGATTCTGGCCACTACCAGAACTAGATGCTCTGCCTCTGCCTCTGCCTCTGCCTCTACCTCTACTTGCTAAAGTTTGGGGTCCACGCCCTATAGACTGTGCTGATGAAGAGGAACCTACTACTGACCTGGTCGACTGACCTATACCACCCTGACCTATGGTCGGGAAGTTTCTCCAACCATGCCCCTCCTGTCCATAAGAATAACAACCTGTGGAACCCTGTTTGCACCTCCTGAAATGCATCCTACCACAAGTTGCGCAACGCGGCAGTGCTGTCCTAGCCTGGCCTAAGCCTCTCTGCTGCTGAGAGCCTGATACTTGTGAACCCTCACCTGGGCCTGACTGTCCCTGACGATCAAATCTACTCCCCTGGAACTGCTGTGGTTGAGGTCTAGGTGGCCTACTAGAATATCGAGGTCTGGGACCACCCTGAATATCTCCATATGAACCAGCGGGCCTATCCCTCTTATGTCTCTCTCTATCAACCCTCCCAGTCATATACTGTAGATGTCGACGATCCTCTATGCCTTGTGCAAAGGCCTGAATTCGCGAGATATCCATATTATCATTTAGTGCAGCGGTAGAACAAGTGTCGATATAGTCTGAGCCAAGCCCTCCCACAAATCTACGCACCCTGTCATGCATCGTATCAACAAATGCTGGTGCATATCTAGCCAATGAATCAAATCTCAGCCCGTACTCTCGGACACTCATGCTGCCCTGTCAGAGGTTCAGAAACTGGTCCACCCGGCCATCCCTAATCTCTCAAGGCAAATAGTGATCTATGAAAGCTTTTGCAAAGTTATCCCAAGTGGGTAAAGATATATTTTCTCCCCTAGATCTCTCCCAACTTTCATACCACAATACTGCAACATCACGTAATCGAAATGCTGCTAACTCAACTGACTCAGTCGCTGAGGCATGCATAACTCTGAAGATCCTATGAAGCTGATCAACAAAGTGCTGAGGGTCTTCTCTGCGATCTGTCCCAGTAAACTGTGGAGGATTCAAGGCAAGAAATTCACGAACTCTAGAACTTCCGGGCCCTTCAGAAGGTCCGGCAACATCTGGCGCAACTGGCTGGCGCTGTGAAGCTACTAATTGTGATAACATATATAGTGCACTCTTGAAATCCTGATCAGATGGAATATGAGGGACTAGAGGTGGTACTGCTAGTGGAGCCGGGGGTCCTGTAGCCCTCGGAGGCTCATGAAGCGGTTGAGAAGCTATAGGGGGCTGAGAAGATGTCTCCCCCTGGGTCTCACAATGGGCTACCTCCACCAGTGGTACCTTGCCAATACCCTCGCCTGCAGTTGTATCTAGTCCCTGGCTAGTCGTAGTCTGTCTGGTGTCAGCCATATCTATCTGCATGCAAATATCAATTATAAGCCAGAAACATCCACCCTTAAGACACCGTTCTATAGCACGAGGTGAGCAAAAGAAGGATAGTCATTCTAACATGACCGGTAGCTTCTTGCTTATCGAATGTGGTGCACAACACATTTATTAACAAGACTCTACTAGACACAGCTTGCAGACTCCCTAGGATACGACGTTGCTCTGATACCAAGTTTGTCACGCCCCAAACACGAGGGACGCAACTAGCTCCTAATGCCAAAACTCAGGCCCGAGCCGACCCTGCTGA